GAGAGCCCAAGGAAGCCACTGAGGGCCTTCAAATCTACCCCTCCCCATTGTCCCAGGAACAAGGTTAGGGAGGAAGGAAGAACAGCTGTGGGCAGCAGGTGAGGCAGGAGCTAGGAGGGAAGGAGGGTGTCAGATTCCTGCTGGCAGGGCTCCCTAGAGACAAGGAGGACAGAGGGAGGAAAGCTAGCAGGGACATGGAAGCCGTGAGTTCATGTCCAGAGGGAGGCACCCAGGGACATGTGTGGGTGTGACTGGCAGAGGAGGGACAGGCTGAAGAGAGACGTGTGAGGGGCAGAGACCCCCAAGGGTGACTCTGGAACAACATCGAGTCAGTGGGTGCAGGGAGCTGTGGCACAGGGAGGCTGAGGGGAGTCCAGAGGGGTCAGAGGAGACTTGGGACAGCTGACAGTGGACTCACACCAACTCCAAGGCTGATTCAACCAGCGAGTGGCAATCAGGCCGTCAGAGGACCACACAAGGCTGCCTGATCAGAGCTTGGCACTCCCAGTGATGGTTGTCAGCTAGGAGGCCTACAAGCTGGTAGCCATAGGCTGGCATGCTATATTTCTGGCTGCTGCACTGCATGGATTATGCGCTTCCCTATGGAGATGTGTGCTACAGTGGCCAGGACACTTACTGGACACTGCCTGCCCTGGAACCTTCCTTCCAGATCCTTCTATGTCTGCAGTCAGGTGTCCTGGTTGATTCCTTGCAGTGCCAAAGCCCAGCCTAGGTCCAGCTCTGGAGATGCACAGACCTGGAGTCAAATCTTGCCTCTTCCATTTACAGGCTGTGGGAGAGTCACTTACTTCTGAGCTTCTGTTTCCCCCTTTGTAAGGTGGGAGAATGGACAATCCCTCCCCCAGGGGCTCTGGTACAATTTCAGGAGGCAGCAGGATATTGGAGGGCTGTGAGAAGCCCCTGCTGAGCGCCTGCTGGAGCTAGGGGCTCCTCAGCCCTTTACCAGAGGTAAGGGAAGGGCACACCCCTCCCCTCCCTTCTTTGTGCAGCAGGGAGAGTATGCCAATTGCTGGACATTTCCCATGCTTCCACAGCTGAGGCCACTGGACGAATGGGTCACTTCTGAGTCCATCCAGATACTCCTGCTCTAGTGTAAAGATAGTGTCCCCTCCAGAATTCATGCTGAACCTGAATGCCCAATGCAATGACCTCCCCAGTGGCCATAGAGAATCCCCAGAGTCTCTTGATATGGGATCAGTACTTAAAGGGGCTCCAGGTTGAAGGGAGCTCTCTTGCCCTCTGCCTTCCACCAGGAGAGCACTCAATGGGCACTGCCCTGAAAACAGAGAGCGGCCTTCACCAGACACTGAATCTGCTGGTGCCTCAATCTTGGACTTCCAGCGTCCAGAGCGGTAAGAAATAAACTTCCGTTTTCTATAAATGATTCAGTTTCAGGTATTTTGTTATAGCAGCACAAATGGGCTACGATAGTCCCAAACACTGGCTTCATGTGACATTTGGGAAATGTTGGGATCTCCATAGGAAGAGACAGACAGAGAGACAGGAAGAGACAGAGATAGAAGGCAGAGGAAAAGGGAGGGAGCACACAGAGGGCAGGCTGAGGGAGTAGCAGCCACTGGTCCCAGGAAAGAGTGGACAGATGAGCAGCTGCAGCCTGGCTTTCAATCTCTGGTCTTTTTTTTTTTTTTTTCAGTTTGTTTAATGAATCAGATGCTTAAGAGAGAAACTTCAGCCTTGCCTCCTTTGCCTTGCTTTCCTCTTTGATCCCCAAGATGCTGAGATAAAAGATAAGGTCCCAAAGGAGAGCTGCAAGACATTCTTAGCAGTTCCCGGCCCTGGGCTCTCATGAGAAGGTCTCTGGAGCTGGGGGGTATGGCCTTAGGACATGAGCCCACTTCTGCTCAGGGAATCCTGGCCTCCTCAAGAGTCCACAACCAGAGCTCCAGGGCTTAATGCCTCATCGTTGCTGATCCTGCTGTCTCACACCCTAGTGAGGCACCTGAAGTGCCTGTCCCCATCCCACACTTCTGTGACACTGGTCAGTGTCAGCATCAGCCAGCCTTGGCTGGTACATCTCTACTCTGTTCACCATGCAGCTCCCAGCAGCCAACAGCTGCTGTACTTGTGCTGGGAGCATCTATGTCTGCTCTGGGAACCCCGTGGAGGAGGCCCAGGCCTGCTGTTCAGCACTTGCAATTTGTGGGGACAGCAAATGTATGCCTGAAGATGCAACCTACCACGGAGCTTAGTTCCTGTCACTTTCTCCTTGTCCTTGTCCTGATCTCCACCTCCTAGCAGTGTGACCTCCCTCAGTTTCCTCACCTGAGAATGATCACCTGCCCAGGGGTCAGCGAGCAAGCACACTGACAAGCTGGCCTCTGTTGGCTATCTCTGCATGTCCAGTCCATGTTATGTTACAGCAGCACTAATCCTTGCTCATTGCTACCAATTGTAAGACTGGCTGATCACAAAGCAATGAGGGCATGTGAAACAGGGACCATGGAGCCTAATGCAGAAAGTGGAAAGGGGCTCTTGATGGGATGGGGATGGGTTGGCAGGATTGGGGATGTCCCCAGGTTAAGCTGGGCTGTGGGGTCACACTACAAAGTAGAGGAGATTTGGAACCCTGGGGTCTAGGCTTTGAGTGCTCCTTCCAGGCACCCAATCGGTGTACTCACATCAGGAAGTCAGTGTGGCCCTGGAGCCCCCATGGCAACCCCTGCTTTGGATACAGAGGAACAAGTTCCCATAGGTGGATCAAATGGCCAAAGAGGAGGCCCAGGGCCCTCTCTGTTCACAGGGGCTCTCCTGTCAGCCAGAGTCCCCTTGTCCTAGAGGTTGAGCCCTAAAGAGTCATGGAGAGGCTGTAACCAGGACTTGGGGAAGTTGCAAGGCATCAGAAACTTAGAACTCTCAAGAGAACTAGTGAGGAACAGGCTGGGCTCCCCTGGATGGAGGCCTGGAGGACATAGGCTTGGGTGCAGGCACAGGTGTGACTGTGCCATGCTCACTGCTGCACCCTGATGTCTGCCACCTGAGACACAAGCTCAGCGCTATGGTGACTGAGGCAGAGGCAGGGTATAGAGAGCACATGTGCCTGTCTGCAAATCATGCAGTGGAGACTATAGCCCACACAGGCTGACCAGTGAGAGGACGCATCTGAGGGGCGCACACTAAGATGGTGGCTACTGCTGCCATCCTGCTCCTGATCTGTGCCATCCAGCACTGTGCATGGTATTTGATGACACTGAATCTACATTATACAACAGTAAGGAGTGCCCCAGGGGATACATGTCCATGTCAGGAAACATTTGTGATTGCCACGACTTGAATGGAGGTCAGGAATGCCTCTAACATCCCACCCTGCCTTGGGGGGAGGGGTGCTCACCACAGGCACATACCTGGTTCCACATTGCTGAGATACCCTGTTTGCTACCTGCTCTTATCACTGAATAACTTCCCATGAACACCTTTCCAGGAAGTCATGCAAACACCCTGTGTGGTCCTGTCTCTAACCCAAGCCTAGGGTCACTCAGGTCAGGGAACATCTGCTGAGCCATCCATCAGGCACTGGGCCTTCCTCTGGGGGCTTCAGAGCCCCTTCTGGTTCCCCTCCTCAGCCCCACCAAGGCTGACCTGAATGGTTGCCAGTGACTGGTACTGTACGCCCAACCTGCTTGCTGTCTCCCTCCCATCAGCAAACAACCTGAGACCTGTTCTCATGAGCCTGGACTAGGGATCTGGGGTGACTTTCTTCCCAAAGCTGAAGACCTTGACTTGCTTTTCTGTTAAAGGGGCCAATAATACCTAACCCCGCCTGCTCCGTGGGCTGTGATTGTCAGCTACAATCAGGCAGGGGAAGGAAACTCTTGGAATTCATAAAGCAGCATGAGTGAGGTCAGGAATTAAGCTGGCCACAGGAAATACCCTTCTTTGAGGGGCCAGTGGCAATGGAACGCTCTGAACAATGGCAGGTTCACAGAGGAGGGATGTTCACTGATGGTCTGAGCGTCACAGAGAGGCTAGGACTTGGTCCTCGGTCCCTGGACTGCTCAAGTTAAGCCCAAGGCCAAGGCTGCCCCTGCTGAGCTTTTTCAGAAGCCTGCCAGTGGAGGGGTCTCCTGGTGTGGCCCCTTCTCCCCACCCCCCACCCTCACCCCCTCTGTCCACAGTGGACATTCTTTTCCTGACTGACTGTGACCAGGTCCTGCTTCCAGTACAAGATTCCTCCCCCAGGAACCCGACTTTATAACAATTCTCCCTGACCTTGGAGTAAAGTCCAGTCTAGCCCCCATGGCCTCCATCCCCTTGCCTGCTCTCTGCCCATACATAGCTTAGCCTCAATTCAAGCACTATTGTGCTCAGGGCTCCCACCCTCCACCCGGAGAGCCCTGGTTCAGTTCCAGAGCAGAGATGGACCTGATCTTCCCAGCAGATGAGGGCCTGGTGGGAAGCCACGCCAGGAACCAGGATCTCTTCAAGCCTAGGAGTCTTGAGAACTTTCACAGTGAAAATGCTTTGTGAGGGGGTGCGCCTGGCCACCCACTAGGAGGGAGTTTGCAGGCAGCGGTGGGAGGGGGGTGGTGAGCGTCCCACCCGAGGGCCAAGCGCGGAAAGCCGAGAGCAGGCGCAGGGGTCAGGCAGGAGGCTATCCTGGGGGAAGAACGGTCGCTGGTTATGCTGGACACGTCCAGAGCGGACTCTTAGCGAGTCAGGTCTGACCTGAGGCCACCGCGCGGCCCCGCGCTGCTCGGCTCTGCCTGAGAGTTGCGCCATTGCCCCTTTAAGAAGGGGTCCCGCGCCCCCTCCCCCGCCCGCGCGAAGCCCCCAAGGGCCTGCAGTGAGGGGAGGTGGAGAGGGACGCGGAGCAGCTGTTACCCGGAGGGGGCGGGCCGGGGCGGGGTCTGCATGGTTGGGGCGGGCCGGGGGCTGAAGGCTGGGCGGACTGGAGGCGGGGCGGGGGCTGCAAGGCTGGGTGAGGTCGGCAGGGCGGGGGGCCCGAGGCCGGCGCAGGCACCATGGGCTCTTGCTCCGGCCGCTGCACGCTGCTCGTGCTCTGCGCTCTGCAGCTGGTGAGTCCCGGCGCCCGGCCCCGCCATGCCCGTCGGACCCGCGCCAACCTCAGGAGGCTCCCGGGGGCGACGGCTTGGACCCGGGCTGTTGCGGCCGACGTCCGCCGCTGCGAGGGGGTCGTGGGAGCCGGCGCCGGGTGTCGGATCCCCGTCTTCCGGCTGCGGGGGCGCGGGCGCGCGGTGTTGGGGCGACTAGGACAGGTGTCCGGGAGCTGGACTGCGAGGAACAAAAGCCTTCGGGCGGGGCCCCCCACCCCCACCCCGCGGGCCGCGCTCAACAAGTCGGGCGGCGCGGTCAGGGGGACGCTGCTGCGCGCGGTGCCCTCGCACGTCCGAGGGCGCGTGTGGCCGCGTGTGCGCCAGGAGCCTGTGCGTGCGTGCGCGCGTGCGGCACCGAAGCAGCGCCGGGCGGCTAGCGTACTGCGAAGTTACCTGTGTGAGACGCGACCGAGGGTGGGCTGGGCTCGTGAGTGGGAGCGCCTGCCCTGCGGACCCCCATTCATCCTGGCTTGGAGAGATGGGGTTGCTGGCAGCCCCGGATGTTCAGGGCTTTGCCAACGTCTTTTGTGCCTAGGTGCAGAACCCAGTCGGAGAACTTGGGCTTGAGCCTAGAGCTTCCTGGGATGTCTGGAATGTGGGTTTTCTGCTGCCCTTGGAGGAGGGGACTAAACAAAGGTGGCTGGGGAGACTCCTTTGCTTAGATGCTAATAGCCCTGGGTCTCTGTTCTTAAAAAGGAAATGATGCTTTGTTCTCTCCAGGCTGGGTGTGGGCGGTGGGCTCAGCTAGACAGGGTGCCTCCTCTGCCTTCTGAAGCTGGAGGCCCAGAGGGGAAGAAAGTCATCTTTCTAAAAAGTTTGAAGGAGAAAGCTCCTTGGTCATTCCCTGCTGTGCGGCTTCGAGTCCTGACCTCTGGGTAAGGGCAGACCAGCTGTGTGTTGCACCTGCAGGAAGAGTGCTGCCAGGAAGGTTGCGGGGACAGGAGGGGCACGGGAGGTCTGCAGGTCCTTCCTAGTGCAGGTCAAGCTGGGGAGAGAGAGCCTGGAGTCCTCAAACCTTGGAGCAGTCCTGTCACTGTCTTTTGGTAAGGGGCTCCCTCATGAGCCCTGCAGGATGACCTAGTGAAGGACAGGGATGAGCCCAGCTGTCACTGAGGTTTTCCAATCAGGCCATTCTGGGGGGAATGGGAAGTGCAGCTGCTTTGAGGAGCAATGACTTTGGTTTTAATGTGTGAAATTTGGTGTGAAGATGTACCTGGGGTCAGGCAGGAGAAACAGCTGTTCTGGTCACATATGCTGGGTGAGGACATGGCCCTGGGTACAGAAGGATCAGGTCAGGTCCAGTGGCCTTCTTGCCTCTGCTGTGGACTGTGGACATGGGCATCTGTGGCAGGCCCTGAGGAATTTGGTTGCAGCTGAGAAGGAAAGGGGCATCTCAGCTGAAGGGCAGCAGGGCTTCCCTGGACAGGGGATTCTCACAGATGCAGTCTTAGCCAGGCAAGTCTCAGGGACCAGGCTGAGCTGTGTTCCCTGGCTGCTTCCAGCAGGGTCACAGCTGAAATGCAGCATGGAGCTGTCAAAGGCCTTTTGTCCTGGCCTGGCCAGCAGCTGGGGGCCCATCAACCCTCTTCTGCCTCTGGCAATAACAGGCCTGATGCCACTGTGGTCTTTGAATGCAGATGGGGGTCCAGGGAAAACTGGGGGTTGGAGTCTTGCTGCTTTCTCTCTCTCTCTTTCTCTCTCTCTCTCTCTCTCTCTCTCTCTCTCTCTCTCTCTCTCTCTCCCTTTGACAAGCGTGAGAGTTTTCTTGTTACCAAGTTACAGGGACAAAGGGCCCAAGCAATGCTCCCTGAAGAACAGAAGAATGATCTTCATAGGCTCTGAGCCAGCCCAACGCCGAGACCCGTTCCCAGACCTCGATTTGTTGTGATGACAGGACGGGGAGCCTGAGGCCCACACAGGGTTTAGGGCTGGGTCCTGCAGGGCCTAAATCTCCCTTCTTCACAGAGACAGCCTTATGACCATGGCCACAGCGCCACGAAGCACTTAGCCTCTGGGTGCCTTGGCTTAGAAATGAGAAGGACCCAGCACAGCCCCCGGTGCCCCCTGTACTCCCTGCTGCAGCGTCTTCATTTCCAAGGCAGCCCTGGGGCTGATCCTCAGATTCAGAGCCTTCAACAGAGATGTGTAGCTGCTGCAGCCCCCGGCCTGGGCCTCACAGGATAGTGCCCAGGGAGGTCCTAGGGGACATGAGGACCACCCTCATTCAGCTCCCTGCACTGTTCCTCCCCAGGTGGGGTTTGTGCAGGGCAGATGTCCCTATCCATTGGCTAGTGTCCTCTGGGAAGGAAGAGGAAGGCTGGGGTGTGAGTTTAATTTCATTCCAGGTCTAGAACAGATGCGGGGGCCAGCTCTGTGTGTGCACATGTGCCTCTCCTTGCCTCCTAATTCCAGAACCCTGGGGCACCCAGCACAGTACAGACCCCAGCCCTCTGCCTCCTCCAGATCTTTGCTCTGACCCCTCCTTAGACCTGGCATCCCACCTCTATCACACCTGTGTCCCCGGAGCTTGTCGTAGCTGCACCCATCTAGAACCACATGTAGGATCACAGGATCCAACCCATCAGTGGCCAAGGGTCCACACAAGCCTTCTGTATAGCCCGTCAGCATGGGTCAGGCCGAGAGCTCTGGGGTGAGTTCTTCCTGCCTGTGCTGGTGCCCAGTGTTAGGGCTCTCAGGCAGGGAGAGACCTCTGACCTCAGGTGCTGGCTTCTTTGCCCAAAATTTGCAGTTGAGAAACTTGTATGTGTTCTAGATATTGGGGGCCTCTGGGATAGGGACAGTTGGGTCCTGCCCTCAGTGAGACTAGCCCTAATGCCTGAGGCTGTTTCCAGGCCAAGCAGTGCCTGGTGTAGTGTCAGTGGACATACTGTCTACCCTGGGTCAGTGCTCCATACAGTTGAAGTGAAACAAGCCAGTACACAGATCACCTTGTGACTCTGCAGGGCAGGTGTGAGGGTCAAGTATGCTGGTGCCACCTGTGTGGGCCCAGGGTGGGCACTGCTGGCTGCCTTTGAATGTGGAGGAGGTAGAACCTGGTTGCGAAAGGGGCTCGGCTATTACAGGAGGAGAGAGGATGCATCAGGGCCTGTGCAGGTGGGGGGAGGCAGGAGAGGTAGAGGTGGGTGAGCAGGGCCTCCATCACCCTAGTGGAGGGCTTGGACGTTGTCTGAGGGATATGGGGAGACATGTGTCATTAAAGGCTGCAGTATGGGGCAGCAGGCTTTCCCTGGCCACAGCCAAGAGCAGGCTGAGGATAGGGCTCCATCCTGGACACTGAGCCAGACCTCTCCCGCTGTCTCTGTCCATACTGGCTGGGAGGAGCAGCACCCTGAACTCCAGTGTCTCTCTGAGTGGGGTATTCACTGTGGCAGTAATTCTATAGAAATGTCATTCCTCCTGGTGGCAGGCCTGCTCCAGCAGGACAAAGTACCCAGCCTGGGCCTTTCATGACAGTTGTGGTAATGCTGAGGGTGTAACAGTCTTTTCTGACAGGTCACTGTCAGAACTAAGACTACCTGCACTAAGAATTCGCAGGTGAACTAGAATATAGCTCGGTGTCAGGGTGTCAGAGTGCTTGCCTAGCATGTGTGAGGCCCTGGGTTCATCCACAGCAGCACAAGGGAAAAAAAAAACCTCACATACACACATAAGAATTCACAAGCTTGGAAATGTTGGATGTGTTCCATTCCTTCTGCTTCCTGTTGGCATCCACACTTGGTTCTGTGGGGACCTCCTTGCTTCTGAGCTGCATCATGCAATGTGCACTGCCTCCTGTGGCCCTCTGCCAAGGAAGCTGGGGTGACAGGCAGGATGAGAACTCTGGAGTCCCAGGCCCTGCCTAGTTTGCAGGGCTGTCCTGGGGTGGCCTCTTTGTCCCTCTGACAAAGCTCAGAACCTAGGCAGGTACTGGGGCACAAGGCTAGGCCCCACCAGCTCTGGGGCCTGACAGAAGAAGAAAACCCAGGGGATGTGTTTCCAAAGTGGTCAGACCATCTAAGGCCTCTAGTAGGACTGTTGGAGCTGCTGCTTCTCTAGGATCCAGGGTACTGGCTAGCTTGCGGGAAGGGTGATATGGTGGCCTCTGCAGAAGGCTTTATGCTGGTGAGCTCCAGTCATTCCGTAAGTCTATCCTCAGTGCAGCGTGCTTGGTTCATCCTCCACATTGGGAGTGCTTGAGGGTAGCAAGGCTGGGAGTGCAGTGGGAGATGGAGCACCACTTGGTGGAGTTGACTGTGGCCTAGATGGGCAGGAATAAACAGGAGGATGTGGGTGAGTGCCCAGATCAGTGAGAAAAGAGACCCTGCCTTCCAGGCATAGACAAGGCCTGCAGAGATGTGCAGCTGGGGTGAAGGCTGTGCCTGGCAGGACACTGAGCCAGAGCAGCTGAATTTTCCTAAAGGTGTGGTGATCTCAGGGCAAGGGGAGGTAGAAGGGCCAGGGAAGCATGTGAGGTTCTCAGGAGGAACACTGCGCTTAGGTGAAGGAGGCAGAGGGTCTGATGAGGGATCCAGCTTGGCCAAGATGTAGGAGGGTAGCACTTGTTGGGGGAGGCTGGACATGGTGAGCAGAAGGGGTGTGGGTTTGGGGTGTAGGACTTCCCCTACCGGCTGTCTCAAGGTCTGAGTGAGCCTTGAGAACTAGTTGCGCAAGCACAGTGTGTCCCTATGGACCAAGGCCAGGAAGGGCTAAGACCATGCCCTGAGCTGCTTCTCCCAAAGGGCCTTAGCACCCAGTGCCCTCCTGGGGCCCCAAGGACAGCACAACATGCTGAGCAGCTGAGCAGGAATTCCTGCTGCCCAGTCCACCCCCTCTGGCTCCAGGTTGACAGGTCCTAATGCTGCAGAGCACACCCACCCCCACTCCCAGTGACCCTGCATTCCAGACCCGGGGGCTACAGCTGAGCTGGAGAAGGGGAAGTTTCCGGAGGAATTCAGCAGATCACAGAAAGAATCTTCCTCTTCTAAAAAGTTATAAAAATATCCCACGCGACAGCAAGTGTGGGAACACAAGGGCCAGAAGCTCCGTGGGCCCTTGGTGCTGAGGCAGCCTCCAGTCAGCCTCTTCCCACCTTTTTCTCTGCACATGTACACGCATGTGCACACATACTCCTGCCTACTCTCCTGTGTATTTTTATGTAGTTACAGGGTCCATGTGCAGCCCAAGACCTCTGCATACCAGTCAAGCTCTTTGTGGTCACTTCTGAAGAGAGAGGGTCACTGGACAAATGCCTGAATTGGGCCTTCAGGAGGCAGAGAGTGGTTGGAACAGCTCCTGAGGAGGCTGGGAGCAGAGAGACCCAGGCAGACTATCCTTGGAGACATGGGGCCTTACTCCCTCCCCTCATCTGTGGTTGTATAGCTTCAGGCTTAGGCAGGAGCAGGAGGTGTGGAGCATAGGTGCTAGCCCAACATCTGCCCATCCTGCAGGGACACACTGCTGTGAGTGCCTGACCGTGGGGAGTCGGGTCTGGACTATTTGGGGCCCTGCCCAGAGTCCTGGCAGAAAGGTGGGAGGGGAGGGTTGGAGCCTTAACTCAGCAGCCATAGAGATTCTCCCACATCTAGACAGAGAGCAGAATGGGCCCGGAACTCCTTGAGAAGGTGGTACAGAGCAGCATGGTCCCTGTTTAGGGCCTTTATGGCTACCCAGCCTGCTGCAGTGCAGTGGTCAAGGCCTCGCCTCAGTTGGCATCCCCAGCTCCTATGAGATACTCAGGGAGGGCTGGCATTTGTTTATGCCTGAGCCCCAGCACCTTCTTAGGAAGCCACCATGACTGTCTAGGACTGTCGTGGACTGAGAGCCAATATCTCCTTTTCACTCCAAGTCCCCAGCTCAGTCCGGATCCAAGGAAACCAATGCTTCTGGGCTCTTTTTTGGCTTGTGCCAAACAGGTATTGTGGCTCTCTGGGGTCAGTGGACAGAGAAGCTCTTGGAGCTGCCCTGCCTTCCCACTCTGTATGGACCCGGTTTCTTCTGTGTTGACTGTGGGATAGACAAGGGCTTCTAGGGAGCTGGCTGCAGGAGGGAAGGGTCCAGGTTGCTTGGGAGGACCACACTGGCCCCCCAGTGTGGCTTCTGCCCCCCTCCAAGGGAGGTCGTGGTTTTCAGTGACTTATGTTTGAAAGAGGAGTTTTCAGGGGAGCGCTCACTTCTCCTTAGACAGATAAGAAGTTTTCTATGGCCACCCGCTCCCCTCACTTAGTGATGATTTGAGGAAGGATACAGATGGCTTGATTGGGAGGCCAGGTTCACCGCCTCACCCCCAGGAGGCCAAACCAGCAAGGCCCCTTTCTCTGTCCCACTCCACAGATGCTTGGGCAGGGGTCTAGTCCTATGGCCAGCTTGGCCTGAGCCCCCTGGCTACACTGGGCGCCGTTATGGGAAATAGGCTTCCAGATTGCCACACTGCCTAGCAGTGCCATTTGGCCCAACCCACCAGTCACGGTAGCAGGCTGCCAGCATTCATTGAACACTTGCAGTCTGCCAGGCCATGGCTTTCTCTCACTGACGCCTCATAGCAGCCTAGAGGATCCAGGCCTGGAGAAAGCTCTAGAGGAGGAAGAGATCTTAGAGCCAAGGGTTTGCTCAGGGCATGAGCTCAGCAGGAGCAGTGACCAGTGGCCCAGGGAAGAAGCCCTTTGGGCGTCCACAGAGGACAAGCTCTGCTTGATTGGTGCTGGGCACCCAGCAGGTTTTTCAGTCTTTTAAGATGTTTTGCTGTGAAGTAATTCACATTTACAGAAAAGTCCTGACCCTGGACCATATGGGGGGGGGGGTGGGGAGTGTGGCCCTTTGGGCCTACTGCCTCTCATGGTCCACCTGCTTCTAGGTCACTGCCCTGGAGAGGCAGGTGTTCGACTTCCTGGGCTACCAATGGGCACCCATCCTGGTCAACTTCATCCACATTGTTGTGGTCATCCTGGGGCTCTTCGGCACCATCCAGTACAGGCCACGTTACATCGTAGTGGTGAGTCCACTGTGCTTGCTGCCTCTACAGAGGGTGGGCCGGGGTGATCCGGAGGGGGTCTCCCACAGCAACATCTGATCCTATTGTCCTGGAAGCCACCAGGACACCCTGGAAATGCCAATCCAGACCCCAGATTTGGACCTTTCCCTGCTGAATGGCCAGAGTTCCAACTTGGATAATAAGGCTTTTCTAAGGGCTGCTTCTAGGATCAGCTGTGCATATATACAGTAATCAGGCACTTAACACCTTCACTAGTTCATCAACCAATATCCGGAGACAAGGAAACTGAGGCACAGAGCACCCGCCCAGTGGCCCATGGTGATATGGAGCCCAGAATGCCCAGCCTATTTCTCTTGCACACAGCCATCCTGCATCAGACCAGAAGGCTTTGCTGGGGTTGATCAGCATGCTTGTCTGGTATAGATAAGTGGTCAGTCTGGACCAGAGGTCTGCAGCCGGCTTTCCCACAGAGGGTCAGATGGTAAATGTTTCAGCTTTGTGGTCCACAGTCTCTGTTGAGGCCACTCAGCTCTGCCATAGCAGCCCTGGACAATGGTGTGGCTCTGTGTGGAAAAAAGTGAAGTTATGGAGGCAGGTGGTTGGGCAGGCAGCTCTCCAGGACCCCCTTTTGGAGTGTGGTTCTGGTGGTGCTCTGTAATTGAGGCAGTCATATCTTTGATCATTTTTTTTGGCTACCTGGGGTGGCCATGGTACCCTCTGAGCAAGGGTACCATGCCAGGAAACTGTCCTTCATAACCATTTCCTTTGAGTTAGCCCTTCTCCTTCTCCACCCCCCCACCCCGCCTCTTTTTGGAGACAGGGTCTCTCTGTGTAACCCAGGCTGGCCTGGAACTCAGGATCCTCCTGCCCCAGCCTCCTGTGTACTGAGATTACAGCAAGTGCTAACTAATGTGCCATACCCTGGGTGCCTGTTTGGATCGGGAGCTCTGCTGCCCTCAAGCAGCAGTGTGGGGAGGCTGCCATAGGTTCCAAGGTAGGCTCAGGGAAGTCTCCTCCTCCAAGTTAAGCATCTTGGGACCGTCAGACTCAGGGAACCTCTGATCCTGCCATGTGCTCATGGGATCTTCTTCAAGGGGCTGTGCAAAAGCAGGTACCCTCCCAAACTGCTGAGCTCACTTTCTGCTCTTGCTCTCTTTCTGTCTTCCTAGTATGCTGTGTGGGCAGCTATCTGGGTTACCTGGAACACCTTCGTTATCTGCTTCTACCTGGAAGTGGGAGGTCTCTCAAAAGTGAGTAAAGACGGGAAGAGGATCTTCCTGTGGGGGATCCTGGCTAGGTTGCCATGTGACATGTGATGTAATTGCTTGTTTATCATGGATCTTCTCATGAAGGTGGGGGCTCAGTCAGTGCATGATTCTGTCCCTGACATTGGGACCATTGTCTTTTTTTTTTTTTTTTTGGTGGGACTGGGGTTTGAACTTAGGATTTCATTCTTGCAAAGCAGACACACTCTAATTTGAGACAAACCTCCAGTCTATATTGTTCTGGTTATTTTGGAGATGGGGGGGGTGTCTCAAACTATTTTCTCAGGCTACCCTTGAACCTCGAGCCTCTCAAATAACGAGGATTATGGGCTTGAGCCACCAGCTCCTAACTTCCAGGACCATATTGGCTGTGATCAGTGTCTCAGTGAAGGTTTGGGGAGATGGTGGTATGTGTGGATGAGGGTATGGATGAGGCACTGGGTATCTGCAGGGCAGGGCCTCCAGCTGAGGTGCACATTGGGGGGGGCCTCTTGGAAGAAGGGACCTCAGTGCTGGGACAGTGTCTGAAAAGAGTTGGGGCTGAGGGCCAGCCTGGCAGAGGTGGGATTGTAGGGCTGGGTGGAGCTGGGGTGCAGGCAGAGCAGCCCCATTCTCCTGATGGAGCCTTGTTCCCTTGTAGGTGGAAGGAACACAGCCATCTTGTTGGCAAGCCAGTTCTGACTGGGGCTGTCCAGGCCCTTTGCATGTAACTATGGAGTGGGGGGAGATGGAGCTTTACTCTTGACTGATCTCTGCTTTGGCCTATGCCAGCACAGTGCCCAGCAGGTCTGGCCTGTCTTCCCCCACTGGCAGAGCCCCTGGAGCCAGGGGACCTAGGAGCCTCCATCTAGATCACCCTAACCCTCCCATGTGCTGGTGGCTCTCAACCACCTCTTGCTCCACAGTGTCAGGCTGTGGTTGAAATAGGTTCTGAGCCCATCTTGTAGGAGACAGACTTGGGTCCACAGTCAGGCAGGCTGACATGAGTCAAACACATGTGAAAGAGGGGCTGGAGGCCTGGGGTCCCATGAGAGCAAGTTCTAGGGTCTGCACTGGGCAGGAGACCTTTCTGGAGGAGCGGTGAGGGGGCTGAGGGCTCCAGAGCAAGCCTTCCGGCAGAGGAGCAGTTGTGGGTGTGCTTGGTGCTCCTGCCCCCCGTGGCTGGAGCCTAGGAGGATAAGGTGTGGCAATGACTGGCCCCCTTCCATGCTAGTCTGTGCTAGGTGGGACTGGCTGCCTCCTGGTGCTAACCTGTTCTGCCCCCTCGTCCCCAGGACAGCGAGCTCCTGACCTTCAACCTCTCCCAGCACCGCTCCTGGTGGCGAGAGCATGGACTAGGCTGTCTGCATGAGGAGGTGTCCACAGCCAGTCTTGGAGCCCTGCACGGCCAGGCCCTGGTATCGGGTGCTAGCTGTGCCCTGGAGCACAGCTATGTGGAGGTTCTGCACAGCAGCCTGCAGATCCTGGTGGCGGTGAGTGTGTGAGATGGGACCAGCTGGAGGAGGTGAGGGTAATGGGGAGGGTTTACAGGGCTGGGGGACTTGTTCCCTAGGCTGGAGCCAGAGCTTTTCCTGCACTCAGAGGGACCAACTGTTTTCTGGGCAGTATGGCCTCCTGTCTTCCTGAGAGGTGAGAGGTGAGGCTCCACTTTTGGTCCCTCAATGTCCCCTGCAGGATGGGCTCAGCTGGTGCTGAGCCCACAGCTTCTGGTGCTGGGAACACCACAGCTTTTGAGGCAACTGTGTACACCAGCAGGCAAGGGACAGATTGGAGTGATCAAGCTGGAGACTCCTGGGTCCCCCTCAGCCCTTGGGCACTGCAGGCAGGGGAGACAGACTTCAGTGGAGCTGGGCAAGGGAAGTAGAGACCCAAGCCCAGCCAGTCAGTGGGTCCTTTGTTTATTTCTAAGGAGAAACCTGATGGATTCAGGAAGAGCCTCTTCCTCTCAGAGACTTGGGGTCTTTGGACATTTCACCACAAGTTCTCATCTCACCAGGAGAAAGCAGGATGGAGGGTGGGCTTCCTGGTGCACAGTAGGCTAATACAGGTTGGCACAGGGGATTGGTCTCTCTCACTCTGAACCCCCATTCTGTGCAATGTTCACATCCCCTGGACTCAAGTCATTGTCCGTGTTGAGCTGGGAGAAGTACGAGTTTTAGTGAGGTCAGAAGAGGAGGTATGGCTATTTTCTACTTGTGTTCAGGGACTCTGATCCAAGGGGAAAGGCCAGAACATGGTTGAAGACCACCCCATCACTACAGTGGGGGTAGAGTGGAGACAGAGTGCAGGGGCCATGGGAACCATGGTGGACCTGGGAGGGGCTTGAAGGCTCTGAACTCCCTGCTCATAGTCCCTGGGCTTTGCCCCACTGATCTGACCAGTGTGCTGTGGGTGAGGCCTATGGCATCAGAAGGCTCGTGCTGAGGCCGGGATCCCTCTTGCTCTGTTTTTTTCATTGCCATGGCAAAACAATGGGCACAAACTGGCCCTCCCTGTGGGGCTCAAGGTCTGTGGCTTTGCCATGGGCTGCTGGGAGGAGGGAGGTCTGGAGGCCACAGGTTTGCCCTGAGACTTCACAGCTGGTGCAGGGATGGGCCCCATGCTGGACCCCCTAGAGGCTTGTGGAAAGGACGTCTCCTCCCAGAGACAAGAAGGTGAGATCTTCAGCTGGCAGTCTGTTCTTCTCCTTCAAGGGTTGAGTGACTGTGGACACCACTGTCCTCACTATCTGGACACTCACTGCCCAGCAAGTGGAGCCCAGCTTGAGCTTGACATGGGCCACGAGTGTGTGGCTTTGCATTGCAGAAGGAGGCTCTGACTCCTGGTGCTGGGAGTGTTTGAGATGCTCCCCCCACACACACACTGTGTCGGTCAACTCAAGGGAGAGAGGTTTGTTTTGGCTCACGGCTTCAGCGGTTTTAGCCCATGGTTGGCTGGCTCCATTGCTGTGGGCCTGAGGTAAGGCAGAATCATGGTGGGGAACATATGATGGAGAGAACCTGCTCACCTGTTGGCAGCTGGGAAGCAGAGAAGCAAGAAGGGGCTGGGGACAAGGTGTATCTTTCCAGGGTACACTTCCAGTGATGCACCTCCTCCAACTGGGCCACATCTCTTACCTACCACCACTTCCAGCAATATCTTCGTATTATGAACCCATCAAGGGAGTAATCCATGGACGAACACAGAGCCCTCATGGTCCGATCACCTCACCTCTCAATAGTGCCCCCAGCTGGTTACCAAGCCTTCAGCACATCAGCCTATGGGGACACCTCATAGCTAAACCACAGCACCCCCCAAAGCTGGCATTGCAGGAACACTTCTTCCAATCACAGTCTCCAGACCCTTCCTTGCCCTCACAACTGCTGATGTGTCCTCAGGAGCTGCTCCAAGGCTCAGTTGAAGTGTGTCCTTTCCCAGAACCCCCACCCTCAGGGGCCACCTCCACCCAGTGTCAGACCTGGGCTCCTTGCCTGTCCATTGATGATCCTCACTGTATCTGAGCAAAGCCTGGTACAGCAGAGACATCCTGACCTGGTGCGGCTCCCAACTCGGGGTCTTGTGGGGACCTGGGTGTTTTATCTGTGTGTGGACGTCTGGATTTGGATTGTGAGCAAACACTGGGGTCTTGGAAAAACCAAGCAGAAACTGATGCATGAACTCTGCCTGGGGGCCGTGGAGACAGATAGTGTCATCAGGAGCATTTCAAATGGCTAATCTGGGTCTCATCCAGCAATGCTAAGGGGTATGGAAGCTGCTCTTGGTGCCTTGAAGCCCATTGGGTCAGGGTCCACTGTGTGTTGGGATGGAAGGCCATCCTACCAAATAGAGCCAGAGGTGCCTCAAGGAGGCTTTGGGGCTCCCATCTTTGGGTCAGCACAAAGGCCAAATTCTGGATTTACATCTGTGTGAGGTCCCTGTGGCTGCCATAACAAATGACCAGATTGGAAGAATCTAGGCATGGTGGTGCATGCCTGTAATCCCAGCACTTGGGAGGTGGAGGCAGAAGGATTGAGTTTGAGGCTGGCCTAGGCTGTATACATAGTGAAACCCTGTCTCAAATAAGCAACACCAAAACCAAACCAAAACAAACAAAAGACTACCAGACACAGAGGCTCAGAACAAAAATGTATTATGTCACAGTTTCAAGAATCAAGGACTCAGTGGGGCAGGTTCCCTTTGGGGCTTGGAGGGACATCTGTTCCAGGCACTCTCTCAGTCTTGGTGGCCTGGGCTGTTGTCACATAGCCCTGTCCCCGTGCACCTGTCACAAACCTCCCTCCTTTCTCTTATAAGTATGCCAGACTGTGGGTTTAGGGCCATCTTAACCCAGTTGGAGCTCATGAAATGGCCTGTAGAGATCCTCTTTCCAAGCAAGAAGCTCTTCTCAGGCGCTGGGGTTAGGAATTGAACATACGTGTTCGGGAACACAATTCTACCCACAGCAACTAAACACAAGTCCTCCCGACTACACACCTGGACTCATCCCACTGACGTGGCATGCTGCTGCCTGAGAAAGGTCCCAGGCCCCTTTTCAAAGCTGTGTCCTGCTCCCTGGTCAGTCTTTCCTAACTCTGCCCAGAGACTCCCTCCTCTAGCTTTGGGGGCCCCTACAGAGGAGGGGCATGCATCCTCCTGACAGAAATTGCCCCAAGGAACCTGTCCACTCCTGCTCTGCCTGTTCTCTCCACTGTCTCTGAGCCCATGCTGGTCACAGAAGATGACAGGTAGCGTTTCCAGAACCTCAGCCTGGCCCTATGGGAGGCTTCTACCACCCAACCCACATCACACTTGGCCAGGGATTCTCTGGCCCTGGACAGAGCTAAGAAGCAGCCATAGTTTGAGAAGATGGAATTGGGCCTGCTGGTCTCTCCAGTACTGCTTGAGTCAGTAGAGAACAGTGGGCAAGAGGCTCCTGGGTCCAGGTGATGGCACCTTCCTCCGGTGCTGCCTCAGTGAGTCACTTAACCTCTTTCTGTCTCTACTACTTCTGTAGAATACAAATTGTTGGGCAGATGGACTCAGTGGCAGGAGACAGAAGGATAGGTGAAGATATGGAAGGCACTCAGGCAGCGTTCAGCAGCAACATCGGCACTGCAGGATTATGGGTGCACCAACCTCAGGCACAGCTGGGACAATCCCGGGAGGAGCTTGGCCAGGTTCCAGAGCTCCCAGATCTTCCTGGAGCATATTGTGGTGTCAGCACTAACGTTCCTGGCTGAGTGTTAGGTTCATAGGATGGGGGTTCTGTGACCAGCAGCTGATGGCGGACGTCAAACATGGTGTGAGAAGATGGATGACACTGTGGATGGCCCTGTGGGTGCCCAAGATGCTTCCTCTGGCTCCCCTGCATCCTACGAAGGTCAGGAGGGAGCCACAGCTGTGCCTTGCATCGATGCCAAACCTTCTGTCTCCTGTGGAAGGAACACCAGTTGCCTAAAAACATGTGTGAACCCCGGTGTGTTTCTTAGAGGAGAAAGAACCAACTGGCCAGGGCTGGGCATCAAACCTTCTGACATCACAACTGTGAAAAGGCAACAGCAGAAATTAGAAGAGATAAACCAGGACCCTCACAGAGGGCACACCTGCCTCTGGTGGAGTCTGTGCTGGGAGGAGGTTTCTGGAGGTTGATGGGGAGATAGGACTTTCTATTTGCTCTTACCTTGGTTTCCAGGGGTGGGGTGGGAATTTCTCTAACAAAGTGCAGATGTATGCATTCTAGTCCGCAGGTACTTGTCTTGCCTCTTGAGGAGTCCAGCCCTCTGCTGCCTGTGTTGGAGGGTCTAGGGGAGGCTAGATCAGGGTTGGCTCTGTTCTGGTGGCGGGGAATACAGGCACGGGTGGGAGGGAGTCCACCAAAGGAGGAAGAGCTTTGGGCAAGAGCCAGGGCTGGAACCCAGGATAGATGGGACAGATAGTCTTCCCTGAGAGGACTGCTCACCAAGAACAAACCTGGTTGCATTTCAGCACCATGGCCAGCTCTTGGAAGGGGATGATCCTCCAACTCCATGCCATCTTGTGGAACCAGAAAAGGCTACGTGAGAGACCTGTAGGTTCTCTTAATAGTGGAGAGATAGGCCTTCCTGCCCTGCTGTGGAGGACGCCTCCCAGCCCCCAGTTGCCCCTGGACGTGAGCTGGACTCCCAGGAGGGATCCGGGTGGGGTCTTAGGGAAGTGGAGCCCACACATTTTCAGCACTATGTGGTCTGTCTCCTTTCATGGGTGAGTGTGTTGTCCTCTCAGGAGACCCTGTAGGGCCAGATCAGTGGAGGAAGAAAGTGAGGCCCAAAGGGTAGGCAAATCCCTCAGGGCTGCTCAGGGAAGAGGCCTGCTGCACACCCAGGAAGTCCTGCTTGCTTCTGATCCCCTCATCCATCATGCAGTCATCACCGCTGGCCACCTTCCTGTTCCCTCCTTGGAAGCCTGCAGTGTTTTCGCTGGTCAGAACCCCCTGGACTCTGGACTCTAGTGTGTCCTGCTGTAGCCGCCAAAGGAATATCTCTTCTGTGCATCCTGACCCAGTTGGGGTCCCAGCAAGACAGTCCAGGCTGTTCCCCAGGGCAGGGGAAGGGATTCTACAAGGTCTGGGTGCCTCAGGGGACATCACATTCCCCTGAGGCTCATGGCAGCAGCCTGGGCCTGAAGGGATGAAGGACAAGTTGCCAACACCAAGAAAGAGAGGCAGCCACTCAGGGAAGTGGCCAGAGACATATGGCCTGCTTATTTCTCCTTCTGGGCTTCTCATTGGCCAGCCCACTCCGAAACTGCTTACGCCCACACCGCTGACCTTGTGGGTCAAGAGCAGGGTGCAGAATGTGGAAGGAGGATCTGCATCTTGGACGACTCCCCTCATGACCTGGTGCTCAGGGCTGTGTAGGACAACTTGTGATGCCCTGGAGGACGCAGGCCTTGCTCCCCCTGGGCCACCACTCAGGTTTCCACATTCTGTGAAAAAGTCCATCTCAGCTTCCTTGTGTGCAGTCTCATGTCAAGGTAGGGCTGGGGTGGCCCTCCGAGGCCCTGCCATAGGACTCTGGTGAACAATGGTTGAGGCTGACTTGGTTGTCTTCCTTGCCCACATGTGGCGGGGGGAGAAGCAGAGACTCTGTCTAGAATTTGGGAGCTCAGGAGGCAGCGCAGATCAGCTCTGCTGTTTCATTTTACAGAGGAGGAGGCTGAGGCCTGGGAGGGGCAGGGCCTCAGTGGTCAGGGACCTCCACGCACTCTCCACAGTGGCACTCCTCACCCTGGCCTCTCCATGTCTTCCAGCTCCTGGGCTTTGTCTACAGCTGCTATGTGGTCAGCACGTTCACAGAAGAAGAGGACAGCTGTAAGTGTCCTGCCATTGCCACACTGAAGCCTGTTTGTGAACATCTAGGCCTCTAGGGTGGGAGAGGGAAGCAGCCAACAGAGGTGACAGCTCTGAGTTCTGTCCTGTCTGGGGCAGGGCCTGTGAACTCCCCTCAGTGCTGCCCCAGGCCTCGCTCCCTGCCATAGGCCAAGCAGACAGGATTTTCCAGAGACCTAAGAGATAAGGAGGGCTCCTGGACCATGGGTACCAGGCACAGCTGATCTGCAAGTCCAAGGGCTTCTGTCCTGTGGGACCAGGCCTGCCCTTAGACCCCACAGGTGCCCTAGAAGGAAGGTCTGAGCCTTCAGTGGTACAGGCCATTTGACTGCTGGTCAGAGGTGTCCACCTCAGTACTAGCTGGTCCCCGTATGGTCGCACTTTCCTTTTCCCTCAGTTTTTAACTTTCCTTTGATTGCAACATGACATGGTAGTACTTTGGTGACCCCTCTGGAGCCCCTGGCCCTGACATGGTCTCATAAGAAGGTCCTGAAGAGAAAGGACAAGCAGGGTGGGTGGGCAGGCAAAAACCCAGGAAAGGTCTGGGCACCCACAGCTCCTGTGGACAGAACCTTCCCTGGGGTCAGAATTGAAATTCAGAACCACCTGTACCCAGGTCAGACAATGGGGTCTGCAGTTCACATATGTAATGATACCCTACACCGAGACTGGGGCTTGATTCTCGAGGTTGGACCATGTTCCAGCCCCTAGTGGCCCTTGGCCCCTGGCCCCAGTGCTGCCCAGTCCCTCAGACCACAGCCGGCTGTTGATGAGGAAGACGAGAGAGTTCCACTTGCTGACTGCACAAGGCCCCTGGGTTCAGAGATGTGTTCACTTAGCCCTGGCTCACCAGGACTGAATGAGGATGTTAGTGAAGGCTGGAGGCGAGGTTGTCCTCCCTGCCTGACCCCCTTCCCACTCAGACCTTCTCACCAGGGAATCACACATTTGATACCTCTGTGGTCTAAGATCTGACCTGGAGCTGGATGGGGCAGTGCCTGGCTCTCCAGCTCCCTCAGGTACCTCTGTGGCACTGGTGGGGAATCTGCCCCTGGGCTTGCTTCCATTCTACCATCTTTTCCATCATTTGGGTTTTGTTTTATTTGGGTCTTGATTTCTTTCAGTTGATTTCATTGGTGGATTTGATCCCTTCCCTCTGTACCATGTCAATGAAAAGCCGTCCGGCCTCTTGTCCAAGCAGGCATATTTGTAAGTATGGCCCACTGTGCCTGCTCCACGGCTGTCCTGGCCAGTCCATCAGACACTCACAGACCAAGGCTCCTCTCCCTCAAGGCCCTCATCTGGCATCATCCATCCATCTATCCATCGATCCGTCATTTACTCACACACACCCTCCCTCCTCCTAAGATAGATTTTATGCATGTCTCTGAAGTTAGGTGCCAGGTACAGCAGCTCTAGGACTCAGCCCCACTTCCTGACTTGGAGCCTAGCAGTGACAGATTCTGCAGGAGTCGGGTACCAAGTTGGCTCTTAGGGCAGGAGTGTGGGGGGTGGGAGGGGCACTGATGGGCCACTTCCGGGGGAGGGTGATGTGGTAACTTCCCAGGGGTCTTCCTGTGACAGGAAATAGGAGGCACTGGTTTCTTGTCTTTGGAGGGTCAGACTTCTTTCTGAGAAGGCAGTGTCCCATAGTTCTGCAGACCCCCAACCTCGGGGCAGGTGCCTAGCCCACCCTTTCTGAAGCAGCTGCTGCCCCCAGCCCTGCCCCGGCACAGCCCCAGGGTCTGGGCTCAGAAGAGGGGTCTGGGGTTCACTTGGTGAAGCTGCCCTCCTCTGGTTGCTCAGGCCCTCACAGCTGCCTCTGAGGACTCCATCCTTCTGAAACACTTTGTTACTGTTTGACTCACAAACATCAGAGGTTGTTGGAGTCCAGCTCCCAGGACAGATAAGGAAATGAAGGCTTCAGAAGGGGAGGGTCCTTATGCAGGAGGAGCCAGACAGAATACCCAGATCACACCTGGACCGTAGGTGGCACCTGGGCCCCAGGCCATGTCTGGTTTTGGCAGACCTTGCCCAATAGGACACATCTGGGGATTTTCCTGGAGAGCCTGGGTAGGCAGAAGGACTCGGGATGAGCTCCGCACTCACTCTCAGCCCTGTGGTTCACACCCCACTGTGGTGTCAATAGCCAAGACCAGCAGAGGATGAGGCCCTTCCTTCCCTGAGCGTCGCCCCTGGACCCTGGTCCCTTTTAGGCCAAGGCTGGGAGACCTCCTCTTGTGGGTTTGCACCACTTGCATTTCAAGCTTCCTGGGGGGGAGGGGGAGGTCAGGCCTTCCCCTCCCAGGCTTCTCTGACCGCCTCCTTTCCTACAGGCCTGCATAAGTGAGGAAGCTGTGATCCGCTTCTGTGGCCTCCAGCCTCAGCCACAGGACAATAAGGCCCCCCCAGGGCCTTGGGACACACCCCTGCCTCCCTGTCCACCTGCACTTGCTCAGGTTCTCTGTGGACACCAGCCAGAGTGGCCATGCCAGGCCAGGACTGGCTGAACTGCAAAAGAGTTTGTATTTTCCTTTTTCTACAAAAAAAAAAAAAAAAAAAAAAAGACAAAAGAAAATGAAAACGAGAAAACCACATCCTCAGTATCCTTGGGCAGTGCTGGGATGTCACCATCACAGCAGGTCTGGAACCCCCTCCTCGGATGCCCGGGACCTGCAAGCTGCACTCCAGCTGCCAGATGGAAAGGTGCAACCCCACCCGGAAGTCTATGTCAGCCACCATGACCCCAGAGCTTCCAGAGGTTTGAAAACATTGCACCACTAACTCAGCTGCAGCTAGCCCAGGTGAAGCCCCCCCACTCAACCCAGGAACTGAGGCTGATGGAATCTCTCCTCTCCCAAGCTAGGGGACAAACACAGACCAGTGCTGGAGCCTGGGGTCATGCACAGAATGAGGCTCTTCCTTGTGTCAAGGGGTGGCACCACTCAGAAAGAGGGACTTGGGCAGAGTCCTGAAGAACCCCCCCCCAAGTATTCACAAGTAGGTAAATAAAAAGAAACTGGGCCTGGGACCCACCCTCTGCTAGAATGTTGACCTTTGTGAATAATTAGAAGTAAGGTCCTGGGAGGCACCTGAGGCAGTGCCCTCTGATGGTCTGTAGAATCCTGAGGGGACAGGACAAGGGTAGGGAGCTGAGGAGATCAGGGTGTATCCCCTCTGCAGGGACCACACTCGGCAGGTGCTGCCCTGCTGGTGAGAGGAAGCAGAGGTCTTGGGTGAGGCAGTGGTGGAGGCAGTGGCCAGGGTCCTGGAACAAATGCTGGACTGAGCTTCATCCAAAGGAATCCTCCACTTTATTTAAGACTTCCAAAAGCTATAGTAAAACCACTTCCACACAAAGTGAGGGTTGGTCCCCCGTCTAGGGTAGCAGTCCAGGCATTGGGCTGATCAGTGGAAGACACTGGTCACTCAGCATCCTCAGCAGACCCACTGTGAGTTGGAGACAGGCAAAGGCAGGCTGGATGCCCAGTGCCTACAGGAAGTGGAGGAGGCATGGATGAGTCCATGGCTCTTACAGGGTTTGTCGGCCGTCAGGAGCCTCAGACCCCAGAGGGACCCTGACCTACCATTTCATTCTATGAGAATTCTCACGTGTCTTGGAGGCACATTGATCTTTGACATCCCCACCCAAGAAGGCTATGGCTCCTGTCCCTAGCCAGTAGGAGGTGTCCCCACTTCTCTAATACTGAGGTCCATGCACGTCCACCGGGCCTGGTTAAGGTTCTGGGACCCCAGCCCTACTCGCCCTGTTTCCCACACCCCGAAGCTGGTCTCCCTGGGCCTAAATGAGCCTTGGACACCCAGTGAGACAGGAGGTATCATCGCCAAACCCCAGCACTGGGGCCGTGTTGAAGAGTCAGAAGAGAGTCTAAGCCTCCAGGGGACCCTTGACTGGGAGTGGAGGAGTAAGAAAAGCTGCCCAGGACTTCTCTGACATGCCTCAAGACACAGGAGACAGGATGGCTCAGGTACCCCACAGAAGGTTTGCCCCAGGGCAGCTCTGGACTCTTACCTGGCCTAGGACAGGAAGGTGCGCACACAACTACCGATGGGTGTCCTACAGATGGGGCACTGTTGCAGGCTAGGAGCACACTCGGCACAGACCAGGTGGCCACAGGGCACAAAGACGACAGATAGAGCTCGGTCCAGGCACACCTTACACATTCTTTCCTCCTGCAGCCGCTGCAGCTGCTCCTGTGCATCCCCAGCTCCTGGGGGCTCAAGAAGCCACCGGCACCCTCAGGGACCAAACTCGGGGAGGGGGGGACTATGACACAGGCCCACACTCTGGGTGGCTAATGTGTGTGGCATCATCCAGGCCCACAGGTGGCCTCTGCTCTCCCTCGAGACTGGCCCAGGATGAAGGTGCATGGGCCTACCCCTCTTCTCACCCCCCCACTCCATGGGTCCCAGGCTGCACCTGGTTCCCTGGCACTTTCAGGCTGGGTCTCTCTTCCGGGGGTGAGCAGCTCAGGACCCCTCTGGACAGGAGCTGTGGGCAGTTAGAGGTGAACTTGAGGCCTGGCCCAGAGACAGGTCTGGCAGCTGGCAAGGTCCAGTTCTGCCTGGGAAAGCAGAAGGGCCTGACTTTGGAGAGGCCTCAATGACAAGCCTGAGGCCAGAGGCTTCTTAGAAGGGCCACCCAGGAGCCTGGCCCTCTGCCCATTCAGCTTCTTAGGTGGTTACCACAGATATATGCTAGGCACTGTTGGAGGAAGGGAGGCAAGGGGAATAGGCTATGCCCAGAGGGGTGCGGCAAGGAGGGGGACAAGGTGGGAAGCAGGCAGTGTCCAGAGGGGTGGAGGTACCTCTGGACCCTGCCACCTGGTCCCTGTCTTCTTCCTGGAGCAGGTCAGCCACTAGCTGTGATGGGGACACGCTGGGCACATATGGGCACTGGCTCCATGCTGACCCCTCTCGACTACCCCTGGTATCTGCAAAGCAGAGAGAAGAGGCCAGGGGTTTGGAGTCATGAAGAAAGGCCAGTGGCCTGCCGGTGCTCTCCATCAACACCTATGTCAGGCCTGTGCTCCAATGAGGCAGTGAAAAGTCAGACCCGCTTAGCCTGAGGGGGCTGCATTCCATGTCCTCTACCCAGAGGTGCTGACATCTATGAGAGGACAGGGAATTTGGTTACCATGGTCACAGCAGATGGAGCCCTCCCAGGCACCAGAGCTGTGTAATTCCAGCAAGGCCAGGCTGTCCTCACTTTACGTGTCTGGGCACTGTAACTCAGAGTTGGCGAGCCAAAGAGGGGGCCTGAACTCAGGGCCTCAGGGCCCTAGAGACCCTCAAGCTCCTTGGAACTCCGTCTCCTCTGTAGGCTCTTGGTTTAACCCACTCAGGGTTGCAGCTTTCAGAAGCTGAGACCGGTGAGCATCCTGGCAGAGCCAGCCCAGCACACAGCTGCCCCTTTGGCTGGGGCCTATGGCGGCCTGCTCAGTGGTACGAGAGGATGTTATGGCCTCACATGAGCCCTGGACACAGCTCGTGGGCACGGTCACCACTCGCCCTGCCATCCGGCCTCAGTCACGGTGCAAGATGGAGGTGGCCAGGAAACAGTGATGCTCCACACAAGGGCTCTCACCTGGGGGGGCCCTAGGGACCGTGTCTTGTGGTTCTTCCCGTCGGTCCTGTTAGGAGGACGTGTATGCCTTGAGTAAATGAAGGTGCAGTGTCACTACTCACCCAAGCCCTGAGCACAGGTGTACTCACCCAGGAGCCAAGCAGTGGGGCACAAGCCTCCTGGATGCTGTGGACAAAACCTCTTCCTTTGGACTGGAGCAGGAACTGGCACCTAGAGAAGTGAGCTCGAAAGCCCCTTGCCAGGGCTGGGACATGGGAGCCCCACAGTCAAGTTCAAGCCCTCTCAGCCTTGGGACCAGAATCTTGCTTTCCGCTCCCAAGGTCCCACTATGCCCCTGGGCATCTGTCTTAAAGACTGGCTCTGAGCATCTAGGGAGGGAGAGCGGTGGCAGAAGAATTTCCTCTCCAACAGCCTTTTAGAGAATGGGCTCCTACATGCAAATGAGAATGTCTGCCCACCCCCACACGACTCCCCTCCCCTGATGCTCTAGGACTGTGGGAGCTGGGAAGGTCCAACCAGTCTTGGTCTTGGCTGGACAAAGTTCTTTGGACACCTCCTAGCCTTGGCCCTGTGATCAGACCTGGAACCTCCCACATGGCCATTACCTGGGGAACCACTTGGCATGCTCGGTCCAGGGGTCGTCACCGTGCTCCCAGCTCTGCAGACCCCCATAGCAGAAGAAGCACCTCACCTTGTCCTGTTGGCCTGGATGTGACAGAGACGCTGGCCCCAGCCCTGTGCATAGCCAGGAGCCCCGCCCAGCCTCACAAGCCCAGGGGTGTCCATCCAAGGCTGTGAGAGCTGGGAGGGCAGGACTGGGAGCCCTAGGTGGTCTCTCCTGCCAGAAAGTTAACCAAAAGGAGCAAGCACCCCGGGGGCTTAGCATATTATTTCACAGGCCTCTAGTTATTTTGTGGGTTTGTCTCAAAGGCAAATGAGTACAGTGCCTGGGGTGTGTGCCAAGAGGGCCCGAAAACATTCCAGAAAGGCTTGGCTGGCATTCACATTGTTCACAGGGTGTGTGGGTGGGGGAGGCCCTGAAGGCCTGGAAATTTGTAGCCTGGGAATTTGGGAGGCCCCCCAGGTCACTGCCCCCTAGGGAGGATTCCCAGAGGGACAGAGGGAAGGGGGACAGCATCTCAAATGCCAGTCTGACTCCAGACTTGGTTTGAGGGGCTTATGCCTCTGTCATCTCTGCCTCCTAGTGGCTCACTTCTCACGATAGGCAGATGTGCCTGGTGAGGTCCAGTACAGATGTCAGATGGGGTTTCTGCAGGCACATCCCAGCAGAGACTCCCCAGGGCCCACAGACATCCCACACCTCCCCGCCTCCACCAACTGACTTCAGGGAGCCCCCTTTGCAAGGTGGCTCAGTTGTCCCAACCACTGACCCTCCTTACCCAGTGTTCAGTTGTCCTAAATCAGTCTGGCCTCTTACCCAGACATCATCAAAGAGAGTGGTGACAATGACATGACTGTGCCTGACTTACAAAGCTCCCCAGTGACTCCTGCTACCTTGTACCTCAGCTGGGAAGGGCAAAACTGGAGCCTGAACTCTGGGAAGACCACATGGCCCCCCATCCCCACCCTAGTCGTGGGCAAGGAGCTGAGACTAAAACAGGCACTCAAGGGATGTTTGTTGTCTGGAGTGGATGCTGACACCAGCTTATGTGTGTGAATCCAGGGGACCTGGCCTCAAGCTGAGAGTGGTGGGGCAGGTGGCTTAGGCTGACCTCTACCCACATGGGCCACATTCTGGGGTCAGTCACCTCTGTCACCAAGTATGCTGGGGCCCCAGGTGATGGTGGGGGCCCCTGAGCAGTGTGGACCTGCAGGCTTACCTGAGCCAAGGTCAGAGCAAGCCCCTCCCCCATGAGCCCAGGTTCTTATCACAGTGACTCTGGGAGAGGCCAGCACCAGGCCAGACTCTCCTGTGTGGAGGGCAGGCAGGGCTCCTGGGATGGGAAGGCTGTGGAATAGCACCTGACCCACTGCAGGAAGGACCCCAGGGCTCACCTGTGTGGAAGAAGCCAGCAGCAGCCAGCAGCTCAGGCCCAACCCCGGCAGTTGGTGGCCAGTCACAGAAGGAGGCCAGACGTAGCTCCTCTGAGCCCATCTCAGGGAAAGCAGGCCCCCGGGATGAGACATCCCCAGCCCCCTCTTCATCCTCCCCTGTCAGAGGGCGTAGCTGGCCTAGAATCTGCCCCTCCACGTGGTCCTGGTCCAGGACATGGCCACACAGACAGTGGGGTCTGTGGTGCTCCTGCTGGGTGCCATTGCTGGCTGCCCAGCGGCTCAGCTCTGGATCACAGCACAAACACTTGGTCCTGTCCTCAGGCCCCATCGAAAGAATATCAGCTCTGACCAGGTCTGCAGCTCTGTCCTGGAATGTGCCCAGTGGCCTCAGGGCTCTTGATGCCTGGGCCCTCCCTGGGAACAGTGGTGGCCTCCACCCCAAACTGCTGGCAAATGGGCAGGCACCATCCTGGGTGTGGGAGTGTCCAGGGGGCCTGTCACTTTCTGGAAGGGGCTAGGGTGGCAGCTGGGTCACGTGCTCTGCAGTAGGGTGAGTCACGGGGCTCCCTGGCAGGGGCTACAGCAAGGGCAGCAGTGGGGGCTGCAGGCCCCACTTCTCTCCAGAGGGTGAGCAGCATCTCTCAAAACAAGAGGAGAGACAGAGCATGGGGGCCCCAGGGATCCCCTAAGGGCTGGTTCTGGTTCCAGGACAAGGCAGGGAGCTCAGGGCCCAGGATCAAGTACCAAGTGGAGCTGCTGGAAACAGATTACAGATCCTCAGGGAAGCACAGAGGCACTTTATTCCATGAGAAAGGGGTGACACCCCCACCCACACAAGGCTGCTGCTGGGTCAGGGATTGACTTAGGGATGGGCTTGCAAGTTGGGATACAGGTTGCTTGGGACAGAGTGCAACTCCAAGCACTGGTGCCTGCCACACCAGGCCCATTCCTGGTGGTCTAGGAGAAAGGGACCTCCCAATACCCCCTCCCTGGGGCACCATAGAGACCCCTGGTTGGTGCAGCCCTACTCTGCCTTAAAACAGAACTGGCCTTAGGACATCTCTTCCTATGAGGCTAATCATGGGGGCGCCCTGGCCTTTGGTCTGGGAGGAGCCTGAGGTTTGAAGCACATTTGCTCCTCCAGGCCTTGGGTCAAAGTTACTGTCCCTGGTGCCACCTCCATCTGTGCCTGTCACACAGGATGCCCCTTCAACAGATGGGCTTTGACTCAGGCCTGGTTCCACCAACCAGCCCCAGCAGCTAAGGAAACAGGGAGAAGGCTGAAACCCCAGAGAAGCCGAAGCTCCAGGTGGGCAGGGCAGAAGTCTCCAGGACACCTGGAATGGGGGGAGAAGAAGACTGGTGGGGCCAGCGCTGGCTTCCAGCCCCCACTGAGTTCAAGCACCCTAAAGGCCCCTCTTCTTCCTGAGCAGCTATTCAGGCTGCTTGGTAAGATTGAAATTTGAACTCACAGCTTCACACTTACAATGCAGGTGCTTGCAAAGCAGATGCTCTACCACTTGAGCACACCTCCAGTCCATTTTGCTCTGGTTATTTTGGAAATGGGGTCTTGCAAACTACTTTCCGGGGCTGGCCTTGAACCTCTATCCTTCTAATCTCAGTCTCCCAAGTAGCTAGGATTGCAAGTGTGGTGGGCTTCTAAGACAGAGTTTGTGACTTGAGAGGAGTCAAGTCAGGCAGGGGGCCCAACCTCTCCAGATGTGGGGCAAAGACCTGGTGGGCCAGACCCTGCACACTGCAAGGGGCTAAAAAAGTTCTTGCTTTGGTGAGGAGAGCAGGGTCCTAACCCTGTCTGGATGCCTTGCTGGGCTCACTCACCTGGCCTAGGTGTCCCTGCTGTCATCCGTCATGGGCTGCTGCCACACCTTTGCCCTCCCAGGGGCCCCTGGTCACCCTTTGGTCTGGTTCCCTGCAGGAAATCAAAGCTGCACCCTTCCTGGGCTTCCTAGGCCCCTGCTGAGCCCCCAAAGGCTTGGGATGGGTGCAGAGTGGAAACCAGGTGGCTGGGGAATTGTGGGAGGGGTGGGCTGCATCTGTGGGGAAGGTCCTGAGGGTACAGAAAGAGTAAAGCTAGACACAAGGTAGAACTTCCCAATATGTTAGTCTGGGCCTTCACCCCTCTGTCCTCCAGGAGCCCCTGACTCCCTTGGGTCGCTTGGAATTACCACTAACCTTTGGCTGTTTTAGTAACACCTCCAGTGTGACACCCCCTGGACCCTGTCAGTGGATATGGCTTCAGTCCACGGTTTTCCCATGAGGACATTCTTGCCCCTTGGTGGCCTGGGAGTGGCGCTGGTCTTCAGAAGCTCCCACTAGGAGGGGCATCCCAGCCCCAGGTTTGCCCTAAACCCTCTGTGCATGGGAAGTGGTCCAGCCCCTCACTGCAGGGGCTAGGAGAGGAGATGTGCTCCTATCACTTCAGGAAAGTCCAAACTCAAGTTGTTAATTGTCAAGTGGAAGAAAGGGAATTTCTGGGCTGATGGTGGGCGCTTGGCCTGAAGCTGAGCCCACAGTGGAATCTCCACAACTGGGTTCCGGGGTGCTGATGCCTTCATGCCCAAAGGTTCCTCTCCCAGCCTAGCAAATGTCCCGCACTTAGTAAGGCGGAGGACCCTAGGGACGGTGCTGGATTTCAGCCTCTGTGAATGCGGCCATGTTTGAAATTCGTGAAAGCGGGATTGTCTGTGTGCTGCTTACACAATTAAATAAGGAGTAGGAAGCCAGCAATCCCCATCACACACTTATTCTGGAAGGCTCTTGAACACTGAAATAAAAGAAAATCAGACACGCTGGGATAGCACAGCACTGTGGAGCTGCCAGTGTGTCTCAGTTCCATATCACACTGTGATGTGCAAGGAGAGGGCAACTGAGAACAGACGGGCGAGCCCATCAGCCTCCCCCACCGCCCCACACCCGCTTCTGTTCTGCTTCCTTCTTTCATTCCTTACCCCTTTTCCACTTTATATTTCCTGTCCGTTTTCAGAAATGAGTAAATGCTGTCCAGCCACGAGAGTTCGCCTTGATGACTCCACCAGAGTCTCACACCCGATTTCCAGGGTGGAGTGCGGGGTGAGCTGTGTGCTGGGACAGGGCCTCCTGCTTAGTAAAAGTCCCCAACCCCACAAGGCTTTGCCCCCGCAGCTGGGTGGAATCTCGCTGCCATGGCAAGATCAGAGCCCACTGGATGGGTGAAAATATCTTGCAGTGACAGGACTGGCCCATTGAGGCAGGCAAAAAAGGCCTCATTTCCTTCGGGTGACATCCTCCAATGACAGCTCCCGCTGTCATGCACCTCCCCTGAAAAATTCCCTACACCAAGGCTACATGTGCCACTCAGATGAGCTCTGGCTTTACTTCCAGATGGCCACTGAGGTCCAGAACTGTTGGACTTTTCCTGTGCTGTGGTGGGGTTTTTTGGAGGGTCTTTCAGAGGATGAACAACTCCCTCACGGCCAACATCCAAGCTTTCGCCCTCAGAGTCTCTTCCTGTTGGCTTTTCCTCTGGGAATGCTTTGTGAGACTTCAGGAGAGACTAGTCTCAACTGCTGGGTTTTGTAGGTAGGGCTAGGATTTATCTGGATAAGGGTAGAGAGCCAGAGGCTGGGGAGGTCCAGATGCTCTAGGGCTAAGGAGGGCAGTTTTTTCCTTCAGCCCAGTGTTACCTTGCTGTAGGATACCCTGGAAAGTTCCCTTTCTCAGTACAAGACATGCATTCCCTCACGGAACCCCACAGTTGCCCTTTGTTCCATCTGAACAAAGTCATCATCATTTCAGAGGTGAAGAAACTGAGGCACAGACAGAGATGGCGGTTTGCTGAGAACTGAGACGTAGGTCAGCTGGGGAGATGGAGGCAGTGGCCTGGCCTGCTCGTGTCCCAGACTTGGTCAAGTTCCACAGAGATGGAGTCCCTAAGGCCTCCAAAAGCTCAGTGCTGTGTCCCCACATAGCACTCCAGGGCCACCCCCACCCCCCCAACACACACATGCTGCTTATACTTCTGTCTGTGGGAGTAAAGCTTTCTGGGGATCCAGCCTGCCCCCTGGACCCACCACCTTTGCCTCACTCTCCACTGCAAGCAGAAGGGAAGGGTGGATTTGAGCATCAGGTCTTTGAACCTGAAGTGTTGCCTCTCTAGGCCCCTCATTTGTGCAGAGCCGGGGAGGCAGGACTGAGCCAAGCTCCTGTCCTGTCCAGTTTTAGGCCTGGGTCCCAGGAGGCTTGGCAGCTGAACATGCAGGCCTGTTGCCTGGGACTGAAGTTTTGCAACAAGGAGCAGTGGGCTGCATTCCCCAGCCCCAACCTGCCTCTGTCCCAGCTGAGACACCAGGCATCCCTGCCATCCCTTGATGGAAGCAGCTAAACCAGCCCTTTTTGCTGTTTGGGAGTCTGAGCCCACCTGGCAGACAGGAGCGCCCCCTACCTGCAGCTGCAGAGCAAGGACCCCCGGTGACCACATGGCTCCCAGTAAGTGCATAGACCAGTGAGGGCTGTGGGCTTCCAAGGCGGGTGAACGCACACTGTGGACCTGAGGGACTATGGTGGAGTAGAGTCCCACACCCATGCTTGGACCCCATGGACACAGTGCCTGTGTGGCAACTCAAGCCCGACTGTGACCTCATTTGGACTGGGTGCTACAAGCTGGGCTCCTCACTGGTGCGGACAGTGACCAAGGTGGTGACCAACTGCCACCAGCTGGAGTGGACAAAGCCTCACAAACACAACACAGCCTCGGCCCAGTGTGGGGGCTGGGAACTGTCTGTATGTGGTCACCATGTGGTCAGACCCGAGAGGGCGGTGCTAGAGGCAGACAGAGTCATGGAGAGAGGGGAGTGAGAGGGGAGTGAGAGGGAGGGAGGAGCGTGTGCACAGACGTGGCTACCTAATCTCTGCAGAGCCCAGGGACATTCTGTGTAACTCTACAGACCCCACTGATCCCTTTTTTTCCTCTGAGCTCTCCCCAGCCGACTCCAGAATGCATGCTTCTTTGGGAGATTGCCCCAGACAGCACCGGGGGAATGGGCTGGGGCCTGAGTCACTGCCCTGAGCCCCCTGTGGGGATCTCCTAGAGCCTGGGGACCGCAAGGTGCCCAGACAAAAGTGGGGGAACACTTGGTCATCTTTTGCAGAGGCCACTTGGGTCCTGGCTCCTGGTTCCATGGGGGGCTGGGGAGAGCTGTGGGCAGTTGTGAGAGGCCAGCAGGGGGCATAAGGGAAAGGCAAGCACTGGGCAGGACAGCCCAGCTGAGGCCTTCTCCCCACCACTGAACTGAACTGGGCTGGACAGACGTGACCCCGCTGTGGGACATG